ATGTCACTTATCAAAATATTGGTTCGTGGGTTGTGCACAAAGATGTATCGGTTACAATTTTGGACAACATGTAAAGCATAATTGTCATTATTGTCACCATTATTGTCTGACAATTTTTTTTTATCCCTTCGCGTGAATTTGAAAACAGTATAAGACTTATTGTAACTTGTTCTAGAAAAACAAATTTGTCTGTTCCGTGGCCCTGGCACCATAGCAATCAAAAATATTGGTCAGAAGTTCCAAACTCGATGCAAGATATAGGCTTTATAGCTTTGAGGTACGCAACAAAGACGAATGTGTTCGCAGACACAAGCAGAGTAAAGTTGCCCTCACACCAAAACGATCACGCGTATATGCCTGCGAATAAAAAACATACCGATTGCAACTCAAAAAGGTTTAATAGGTTTGAGGTGTCATAAGCTCGCAAGGTTATAATTGAGAAAACTGTTTGTTTAAAATTTAGTTTACACGGAACTGTTTCAATATAGGCTTTAAGGTGCCTCACATCGTATGCGTATGATTGTGAATAAAAGATAGAGGTCATAGATTCCCACATCACATCATCACATGCAATCTAATGGGGCCTTGACACCATAGTTTTTACCGAAATTGTAGATTCTTGTAAATGAACAATCTTATAGTGTTAATAATATTCACAGATGTATTTGTATACGCTCAAAATGTAGCCTGATTCAACGCTAAGGTGAATTGGAAACGTATCTTTTGTCGGTAGGACGTTAATAAATATCAACTCTTGTGCGAACAATATTCACCTCTAATGAAAGCTCAATTCTAAACGGGGAAATAACTCTTAACACACTTAAAACGATATGGACTCACTCCACTAATTCATTTGCCATCTCTTCCCATGTTAAAACACGAAATTCAACCTTGTATTAATTTTTCCAGAAATCTCGTTGAAAACTTTCTAATATGTCACATGAAAGCTTGGCCAATACTTAGTTTCTGGACAAAAATTCAATATATTTTGACCGTGAAAATCTTGAGCTTGTCAAACTGAAAGTGGGGTAGGGTAATCTACAACGGACTAAGATATCATTTAGATTTTTATTTCGGGTATAACTAAATAATTTGTAAAGACTGTTGGGAATCTTTTCTGCAATTCTTTGTAAAGACGGATAATTATTCGGGGAACTTGAGGATAACACTTCTGCATGAAAATTTCTCATCATCTCACAAAACCTGAAGGAAAATCCAATTTTAAAAATTATTCATAAAAGGGAGAGAGAAAGGGGATGGCTATAAGGGGAGGGGGGAGGTGGTGTTGTGCCCCTCATTAGCCCCCACGCCCATCTAGAAAGGCCAAAATGTATACAGGAAAATGAAATGAAATGAATGGAGTTTTACGTCCTACTTTTCTGCACAATGTATACAGGAGAACTGCGATCTTAATTAAATTAAGACTACCACCTGTTCCTTTTCTTTTGTACAATGTAGAGAACAATGGTGTAGTGGTGTTGAGGATGTTGCAAGGTGGTTATTAAGATACTGTTGTAAGGGTGACATGAGAGAACTGGTCAAATTTCTCTTGAGCTGTATGGATAGGACCTAGAAAATATACTTCTCCGCTTATCTTCTCTTCTTTTGACATAAAATAAAAAAGTCTAAAACTTGGTCAATATATATATTGCACATATTTATTAGGTGCCATTACTAAAGAATATAATCTCCATAAAAGATGATATACCTGGGATTCTGTCACACAGTTTTGAGTTCACTGATGAACAGAGACTCATTTTGGCCAGGTTTAAATTTTTTTTTTTGCCATCCTAAAAGATAGTGTTAGATACTTAACGTAGGTATATTAAAATACTTTACTGAGAAAATGGAATAAACGGTCTGTTCTGATCTGAAATTAGATCAAATTTTAACCAGGCCCAAAGATCTATGTTTCAGCTACGGTGTGGGATATCCACATAATATGTATGTTAAAATAGTGTTACTTATAACAGTTAGAAGATGTTGTAAGCATTTAGAATTTTAGCCTACTTAAAAAAAAAACTTTCACACTTTATTTAATTATATTTCTGAAAAAATGAATATTTTTTTTCAAACGCTACATACTTACTTTATAGTTAAACATATAAGCTTCTATTTCATTGTTGTGTTATATTTCAGCGTTCGCAGGATGACGTGGTAATTATTAAGTGTTGTTCTAGTTGTGTTCAATTAGCACTATTATATATATATTGTCATAAATCTAAATGCTACGGAAGCGTATTAGGGCCATTCATTTTTTTTTTGAATTTTCAAGTTAGTATGTTGAATTTTCAAGTTAGAATGTTGAATTTTCAAGTTAGTAACTCGAATTTTCCATTTAGTTACTTGAATTTTCAACT